GGTACCAGGGGCACGAGGGCTGTTTGCTGTTGTACTCGGCCGTAGGAAACAGCTTGATCTTCCCCATGACTTTGTTCCTTTGCCTTGCTTGCCAAATTCGACGCAGGGAAGCCGGGCAGTGAGATGGCCCCACATGTGGACCGGCTGCTGGGGGACGTCGCTGTGCTTCACTCTCCCTTCTTCGGCTCTGGAAAGCTGGAATACCATCCGGCGTCCGGCCCTGAAGGTGCGTGGTGTCGACGCACGCCTTTGAGCCCGTCGCAAACCTGCACCGCTGCTACTTAAGGCAAGACCCGGTCTTCCTGCGCTCGATCGGTGATCGGAGCCTTGAAATCGTAGAGCATGCCGTCGCAAAAGAGGATTTTGTGCCGTGTCTCGTCGCCGTCGAGGTCCGCCATCTGCGGGCCTGCCAGACGCCCCAGAACGGACGAGGACAGACCGGTGAAGAAGGCATTATCGTTGAGGGGCGGCGGCGGTACGTAGTTCTCATCGACTGTCTCGAAGACCGGGCAACACATCTTGCACATCAGGTCTTCCACGGTCTGGCCCAAGTCGTCCCGGTTTCGCACCAGCCAGAAGCCTCCCTTCTCGAAGCTTTCGTAGGTGGTCCTCTTCTCACCCCCCTCCACCGGAACGCGCACGACCGGGACCAGCTGCGCCGCCGCCAGCTTCGCAAAGTCCACGGTGTTTGCCCTTGCCCGTCCAAGTATGACGTGCTGCCTGCAGCGCTGGAGCAGTTGGTGGTACCCGGAGAAATCCATCTTCGACTTGAGTCTCCAATCCAAGTTGGCTTCGCCGCCGCGTATGCCCACGGGTCCTCCAGCTCGTGCACACCTCGACATCCACGGCTCGCTTCACGGCCTCGCTCGCGGAGCGGAGGGCCCCGATGCCGTCGTGCTGGTGGTCGTTGAAGGCCCTGCCCGCTGCCGCCGCCATCTTCTCCCTTGGCCTTCTGTGGCAGCAGCTCAAAAACGGCCACGTGGTAGAGGCGCGCCGCCGTCTTGAAGCCGTAGAGCCAAGCAGCCACCTCGCCGCGCTCCCCCTCATCCGAAGCCAAGGGTATGTCCTGCAGCACCTTGCTCGTCCAGTTTGCGAAACCACCCCCACAGCCCAGGGCAATCATCCGCTCCTTCGCCACGCTGCGCCGGCGGGCCTCGGGCAGCTTGTGGAAGAGCACGCGGGCGATCTGCGCGAGCTTCTCCTCACGGTGGTCCAGGTACTCCGCCATGATGGGCGGCAGCGGCTTCTGTCGGTTCAAGAGCTGGAAGAACGAGTTCTTGATGTCCAGCTCGACGGATCCAAGGCGATGCCGCGTAATGTAGCGGACCAACTTCTTGAAGGCAAACGCAGAGCGCCCCACAAGCGTGTCTGGGACCCCCATCTCGATCTCCTTGCGAATCTCCGGCGGCAGCTGCTTCATGAACTCTGCCCGAGCGGAATCCACGGCGCCCTCATTGCCTTTGCGCTTTTTGGCAGGCGCCTCCTGCGCGGGCACCCGACCGATGCCGGAGAAGATCCGCCCCTTCAGCCCAGGCGCGGTGCGGCCTGGGCGCAGGAGCACGGGAATCCACCCAATGCCGTCCTGGTCCACACTCACAGAGCGCTTGAACAGGCTCATCAGCACATCAAAGAGACTGTGGTCGGGGCATCGCCGCACGGAGTCGAGCTGCAGAGCGTTGCTGATGGTGAACACGTCCGTAACTGCTCCTTGAACTGCGTGTAGTGCCCCAGTTGGGCGGGTGTCGGAAGCTCTACCTCCTCCTCTACCTCCTCCACCTCCTCCTCCTCCACCTTGACCTCCGTCTCCGTCTCCATCTGCTCCTCAGCCGGCTCCTCGGCCGGCTCCTCGACCGGCCCATGGGCCTCCGTCTCCTCCTGGGCCTCAGCCGGCTTTTCGGCCGGCTCATGGGCCTCCGTCTCCGTCTGCTCCTCCCCAGTCCCATCTGCCGGCTCATGGGCCGGCTCATGGGCCTCCGTCTCCTCCTGGGCCTCCGTCTCCTCCTGGGCCTCAGCCGGCTTTTCGGCCGGCTCGTGGGCCTCCGTCTCTGCCGGCTCATGGGCCTCCGTCTGCTCCTGGGCCTCCGTCTTCTCCTGGGCCTCAGCCGGCTTTTCGGCCGGCTCCTCCGTCTGCTCCTGAACCTCCGCAAGAGCCTTTGAGAGCCTCCTTTCAAAGATGCGTTGGAGCTCCCGCACCGACTCAGCTTCCTCGAGGTTGGCAACATTGAGGTTGAGCCACTGGAGCCTCGCCAAGGCTTCCTGGCACACAGATCTCTCAAGGCGCTTGCGCCGACGGAGAAGGCCGTCACAGAAATTGATGACCTCTGCGGCGGTCTCCACCGGATCTCGGATCTTGCACAGCGCGCGGTGCAGAAGCCCCTCCAGCTCAGTCATGGGCCGCTGGCGAGTAGCGTCTTGATCACTGCCGACCGCCAAGCTCTTCATGCTCTGCATCTCACCGAAGGCCTCTCCAGCGCGGGGGTCCGTGCACTTGTCCGGGTGCACCAAGTGCATCATCATCTTGAAGCAGGACGACGCAGAGCCAGGGAAGATCCTGAAGCCGCACCTCTCGCCAACTCGATGCGTTGGGCTCAGCACGAGCTGCACCGCCAGGGACCGCTCGGCATCCATGGTCATGGTAGGTGTCGAAAGCTAAGTTCCTTCTGAGAAAATGCTTCAAAAGATAAAGATGGCCAGCAAGTACCCGAATGCTTGGCAATGACTGGCAACCAGGCCCCGGACATTCGGAAGCTACACCACAGCAGCCGAAGTCGAAGGCGTCTGAGCGGCAACTCCACCCGGTCCTGGAGATGCTTGTCAAATGGCCTAGTTCTGTGCCCCCCTGCGGCGGTTTTTGATTTATATAAAAATCTAAATGCTTCGATCCCTCGTGCTTCGATCCCTGACATCCCGTGCTTTCTGTGCCCCCCTGAGGCGGTTTTTATTTATATAAAAATCTAAATGCTTCCATCCCTGGCATCCCGTGCTTTCTGTGCCCCCCCTGAGGCGGTTTTTTATTTATATAAAAATCTAAATGCTTAATCTAAATGCTGCCATCCCTGGCAGGTTGTTCTCCCGTTGCTTTCAGTGCCTCCCTGAGGGCGGTTTTTTATTAATATAAACTCTAAATGCTTCCATTCCCTGGGCAGGTTCGTCTCCCGTGCTTTTCCGTTTGCCGCCCTGGGCCGGGTTTTTTTATTTATATAAAAATCTAAATGCTTCGATCCCTGGCAGGTTGTCTCCCGTGCTTTCCGTGCCCCCTGAGGCGGTTTTTTATTTATATAAAAATCTAAACGCTTCCATCCCTGGCAGGCTGTCTCCCGTGCTTTCCGTGCCTCCCTGAGGCGGTTTTTTATTTATATAAAAATCTAAATGCTTCCATCCCTGGCAGGCTGTCTCCCACGCTTTCCGTGCCCCCCTGAGGCGCTTTTTTATTTATATAAAAATCTAAATGCTTCGATCCCTGGCATCCGCTTTCTGTGCCCCTTGAGGCGGTTTTATTTTTCTAAAAAGCTAAATGCTTCAATCCCTCTGCAGGCAGTCTGACAAGGAATGCGAGCGTTTAGGTTTTATATAAAATAAAAACTTTTTTTTAATCGAAACACTTCCTCGCGGCTTGTCAAATGGCCTAGCTCTGTGCCCCGTGAGGCGGTTTTATTTTTCTAAAAAGCTAAATGCTTCAATCCCTCTGCAGGCAGTCTGACAAGGAATGCGCGCGTTTAGCTTTTTATATAAAATAAAAACTTATTTTTTCAATTAAGTGCTTACGGATAGGTCCCTGCGCAAGGTGTCTGGGGACCTATCGATTCGAGCAGTGTGAAACTCTTGGCCTGCAGGCAGTCTGACAAGGAATGCGCGCGTTTAGCTTTTTATATAAAATATAAACTTATTTTTTCAATTAAGTGCTTACGGATAGGTCCCTGCGCAAGGTGTCTGGGGACCTATCGATTCGAGCAGTGTGAAACTCTTGGCCTGCAGGCAGTCTGACAAGGAATGCATGCGTTTAGTTTTTATATAAAATGAAAACTTTATTTTTTTAAAAAAAAAAAGAAAAGAATACTTCCTCGCGGCTTGTCAAATGGCCTAGCTCTGTGCCCCTTGAGGCGGTTTTGTTCATATAAAAATCTAGATGCTTCAATCCCTCTGCAGGCAGTCTGACAAGGAATGCATGCGTTTAGTTAGTTTTATATAAAATATAAAAATCTATTTTTTAAAAAAAGAAAAGAATACTTCCTCGCGGCTTGTCAAATGGCCTGGGTCTGGCGCTGGGGGGAGGTTTTTTGGGCAATGCCGAGTGGGCACGTAGGATTAATACTGCTTCGCCCAACGACCTGGAACTCAGCTCCGTGCGCTTCGCATGTTGGCATCCCTATATCACACACCTCAAGGATGAGGATGGCTTTTTTTATTTATATAAAAATCTAAATGCCTGTGTGCCAAGTCGAAGGTGTCTGAGCAGCAGCGGCTCGATTTATTTATATAAAAATCTAAATGCCTGTGGAAAACCGCCTCAAGGGGGCACAGAAAGCACGGGGACATCCTGCCAGGGATCGAAGCATTTAGATTTTTATATAAATAAAAAGCCGCCTCAAGGGGGCACAGAAAGCACGGGGACAACCTGCCAGGGATCGAAGCATTTAGATTTTTATATAAATAAAAAACCGCCTCAGGGGGCACAGAAAGCACGGGAGACAACCTGCCAGGGATGGAAGCATTTAGATTTTTATATAAATAAAAAACCGCCTCAGGGGGCACAGAAAGCACGGGAGACAACCTGCCAGGGATGGAAGCATTTAGATTTTTATATAAATAAAAAACCGCCTCAGGGGGCACAGAAAGCACGGGAGACAACTTGCCAGGGATGGATGAGTCTTGACTGCTGTAGCCGAGCATGCTGCGCAGGCAATGGCAGTCTGCACTTTAGCCTGTCTGCCGCGTAGCTGTTTGGTCCCGAGGCACCGCTGTAGCCCCCCCTTTTCACTGGGGGGGAGGCGCCGCTCTCCATGCCTGGGCCATGGTTTGCTCCGCGTGATGACCCTGAAGCCTGGAGAGCTGCTCACGTTGACAAGGGCAGCCTCCTTGAGGTGAGGGTCTGCGACCAAGACGGCCTTCCACAGGGCACTGCTCTTCTGGAAGTGGGGGAGAAGTTCCCTATGACCCGCACAGGGCAATGGCTGGCTGGTTCGGTGGTAGCCGTCTCTGATGAGTACCTCCAGTGGTGGTTGGATGATGGCCCCGGTGCAGTCAGTAACCGCTACTTCGGATTCCATCTTTGTGCCAAGCAATGCAGTGCCTGCAAGGCCAGCAAGGAGGACGCAGCCCTGGAGTTCCACGTGGAACTGGTGCGTGAGCTCGCTGTCGGTGACCTCACCCACTGCAGGCCAACGTGGATGGAGAGCGGGGCCGCCGCTCGAGATCTTCAGTGGTTGTTGGACAAGCTCTCTGCGGAGAAGACAGGTCCTCAGGCAAAGGAGGGTGAGCCTTCACCAGATGTAGCCCCACCTCCGGGCGAGATGCCGCCGGCTTGGGGTCAAGCTTCTCTGGGCGGTGAGCCCCCAAAAGGCTTGGCTGCAGAGCTCAAGCAGCTTGCAGATGACCTTCGGGATGGGCCTAGCAAGGCCGGAAAGAAAGGCAAACGTCGCAAGAAAGCGGCAGAGGATGAGAGGTCCGGCCGTGGCCGTGTTGTTGGGGGCGAGAAGCCCACTCCAGCTGAGAAGGCGTTGGAAAAGAAGCGCCAGCGTTGGCTTGGCAAAGGCGAGGCAGCCTCTGTCTCCTCGGCTTCTTCCCCTTCTGAGGAGCCTCGGGTGATACTGCCTGCGGGCAAGGATGAGAACAAGAAAAAGAAGAAGAAGAAGAAGTCAAAGAAGAGAAGGACCAAGGCAGACCGCGGGCCATTTGGAGCGGGGGAAAAAGTCTACATGGGGGATGATGACTCAAGCTCGTCTTCGTCTTTTCGGGAAGCCCCTCTGTCGCGCGACCGGCACCTAGCCCTTTTGGAGTATTCACAGGACCATCCAGGGAGGCTGTCGAGTCGTCTGTTGCAACGGATGCAAGTGCTGCTTGCACGCGACGGGGGGGCGATAAACCAAAGAGCAGCAATGGGCGATCCTGCGCCAGCGGTTTCCACCTCTTATCTCTTGACAATTCTAATTCCAGAGTACAAGCAAAAATTGGGGCTTCGCCAAATTCGGGAGCTTCGCACCTTGTGCAGGACACTCGATCTGATCGTGGAAGGCGCCGACAGACAGGCGGCCGACTTGGTAGCCCAGCGGATCAAGGCCATAGAGTTGTCTCTGTCGGAAGAGTCATGGGTTCGAGCCCAACACCTCGAGCTCATACCCAAGGAAGGGGCAAACCTTCTGGAATCTGCCGAGTCTCTGGCTGCGGCCAAGCAAGTGACTCTGGAAGCAAAAGTGCGGGACGCAACGCTGAAGTATGGAGTCCCTCGCCAGAGGTGGGTGAGCATAGAGGCAGGTCAAGGCCACGAGGCAGAAGCAAAAGGAAGCAAGGGTTCCAAGGGCCACCCCAAGGGGAACGGAAAGGGCGGAAAGGCGGCAGGAAAAGGAGAAGAGAGGAAGAAGTAGGCCCTGATGTTCCAGATTGGGATCCACCCGCGGGTGAGCTTTCAGGCAGTCCTGCGGTGGTTGACTCTTCCTTTTCGGAAGGGGAAGAATCAGAGGCAGTGTCAGAAACTGACCACCCTGCAGGCTCCCCCCAGGTTCCTTTTATCCCTTTCGGCGCGCCAGCTTTTGGTCCTGTTTGGTTGGATGAGGAGTTAGGTGTTTTGGAGGTCAGTGATGCTCCCAAAATGCCTTCGCTTCCTGAGCCCGACAAGTGGTCATTCGACGGCTTCCACAGAGCAGTGCAGGCCCTTCTGGAAAAGAAGCCTTCTTGGAGAGAGGTCGCCGCATGGTTCCATGTGCAAGGCTGCAAGCTGCCTACCCCTTTTTGGGGCGTTCATGCGCCAAGCGGCCAAACCTGGAGCAGCCTCCTCGGGCGCGGAGCCCAAAAGCGGCGACCTTCTCCCCATTTCCGTCGAGATGGTGAGGAAGCTCCCATGTGTAGGGCCGGAAGCAAAGCCTTTGCTGAGTGCCCTTTTGCACGGCCTCAATTTCCACTACTGCTGCGGCTGGACCAAAACCATCTGCTGGCCTCCGCCAGAGAAGGTGACTAATCGCCAGCTGGTGGCAGTTGCTGCTCTGCGGAAGTCGGTGGGCTTGCCCTCTGAGGAGGAGTCTGTAGGAGGTTTGAAGGAGGCCGAGGACATACTCACCAGCAAGACGTTTGACTATGATGGCTTGGAGGTGCAGAGGGTGAGCACGCTCAGTGCGCCGCTCATCATTGAAGCCTGGCCTGCTGTGGGAGAGGCAGCAGTAGCAAACATCGAGGAGTTTTTGGAGGGCGATGCTCTGGATGCAGTCAGATGTCCTCAGCGCTTCTTCAAAAAGGGGAACGACCAGCCTCCTCGCTCGAAGAAGGCAAAGGTGTTGGCCTCGCAGGAGGATTGGAACACTGTGGTCAGCGCCGCATTTGAGCGAGGGATGATGGCCCCGGTTGATGAGTCCCGTCCCACGTGATGCCCAGGGACACCTCATAGTAAATGGAGCTGGGGCAGTGAAGAAGCTGAAGATGAAAGACGGGGTTGAGTGTGAAGTCCAGCGCTTCATCAGCAACTTCATCCCGATCAATGATTTTCTGGAAACCCTTCCAGGTGACCAAGATCATCTTCCTTACGTTGCTCAGCTGGGGCTTTTGGTTTTGGAGGAATCCCAAACCCTGCTCATCGAAAGCGAAGATTTGACCTCGGCTTTCAATTTGTTCCGCATGCCGCCTTCATGGCAGCCGTATTTTCTCTATGGCCTCAAGGTTCCTGGATGTGCATGGGTTGTCAGATGGGACTGGTCCCGCCCGCTTGTGGTTATCCCCATTGGGCTGGAGTGGCAGTCACCTTTGATGCAAGCAGTTCTGAGGAACCTGGTCTTTCGCAAAGCCAAAATCCCCCCTTTCTCTGGAGATCTCTAAGGTGAAGGAAATCCCTCAACAGGGCGGGGCCATGCTTTACCTGGACTCCTTTGACGAGATTCGGGTGATTGACAAAGCTTGTTCGGAAATTTTGGAGGGGACCGCAAGTGAGCATCACAGTGCCTTCAAGGCGGCATGTGCGGAGAGCGGCCTTCCCCTGAATGCCGGCAAAGCCTTGGTGGGCGCCGTGCATGGTGGTATCCAGGGCGGTTACTTGGACGGGCAGAAGGGCACCATCGGGGCTGGAGCAGATCGCTCTCGCAAACTGGTGCTGGCTTCTCTGGGCTTGCTTATGAAAGCTGCTTGGTCCGAACAGGACTTGCGGAGATGGGTTGGGTTGGCGACTTTTGTAGCTGTGTTCAGAAGGCCTCTCTTCTCCATCTTCCAAGAGGTGTTCCCTCTCATTGAGCTTGCTCGCCACGGGCCTGTGGAGCCCAGCCCGCAGGTCATTGATGAGGTGATCTCCTTTGTGCTGCTGCTGCCCCTGGCCTTCACATCTTTGCGGGCGCATGTGCACCCAGAAATGTCCTGCACAGATGCTTCGCTGTCAGGCGGCGGAGCTGCTGTGGCCAAGGAAGCGAAGCTCCCCCCCTTGGCGCCTGAGGTCATTGTGGATGATGAGACATGCTCCCACTGCGGTGGAGATTGGCTTTGGGCAAATGGGTATCAAGGTTACCCTTGCCCTGCAAGTTGCGGCCGTAGCTTCTGCTCCATCTGGTGCGTGGAGGGGCACAGGAAGCTGAGTTGCCGGCGCAAGAACCTTCTAGTGCCGACCTTTGCAGAATTCTTCGCTGGCCCGGAGTACCCTCTCACAAACGCGGTTGCCATGAACAAAGTTGCGGTCAAGCTACCCTTCGACCGGGAGGTCAACTCGAACGATGACTTTTGGACGCCTTCCGGGAAGGAGCGTTTGGAAAGCATGGACCTGGACCCTCTGGTTGTGGCCAAGCATTGGGGTCCTGAACGTCCTCTCTTCGTCAGGGAGAGAGGCCGCCAAGTGCAACTTGTGGATGGCCGGTGGGTGAATGGGCCGCCGGCTGTTCGCGACATGAAGCATTTGGATGGATTCCCATGGCTGCCCAACAAGGTCGCCTTCGAAGTGAGAAGGGCAAATCAAGTGGCCAGGCGTTCGCTCAGGTCGTTGGCCAACGCCCCGGCTGAGCACACCTTGTGCTCAGTGGAGCACCCTTGGTACTCCTACTTGTGGTACTTTCCGGAAGCTGTGGCCTTGGCTAATCGACCGGAGATCTTCACTACGCGCTTCTCGGCCTGCTGCTTCGGAGGTCAGAATGTCCATTGGATTTGCCTGTTGCACAATTCACCCCGCCTTCATCACGCTCTTCACAAACCTGAGTGCCATGGACACCGAGGGCTTCGCGAATATGATGCTTGGGTAGATGCCCAAGGTCATGTTCAGGTGGCGTCAATCCAAGCAGCTGGGAGCTCGGCTCAGTTCTGCGCAGCCTTTGCAGAAGCTTTGGTTGCCGAGTTGGCGGACCGGGCGCCCCTTGTGCCGGGCAAGCTGGATGACAAATCCCTCAGGTGGCAACTAATGGTGCAGCTGCGTGGGGCCTGCAATTCTCTCCGCTCCCCGGCCGCGGCCGAGCAAGCAGTGTCAGCCATTTTGCCCCTTGCTGAGGAACTCTTGCTTTCCCCTTCTGATCATTTGAAGCGGCTTCTCAGCAGGGGGCACTACAGGGGCACTGAGGTTCGTCTCCAGGCGCCGGATGACGACAGCACATTGAGGACTGTACCCTACCCTGCGCATTTGTGGAGGTGGCGTACTACCTTATCGTTTGCCTGGTCCCACGAAGACCACATCAACACCTTGGAGATGGCGGCTGCGCTGGCTGAGATCAGGCGCCGCGCGCGGCAGACTGAGTCACAGGGCTGCCGCTTCTTTTTGGTGTTGGACTCGCAAGTGGTGTATCATGTGCTCGCAAAGGGCAGATCAAGCAGCAAGCGGCTCAACAGGCTGGCAAGAAGGGTCATGGCAGTTCAGCTCATGTGTGGGATGCAACCCCTGGTCCTCTGGACCATTTCGGGGTGGAACTTCGCAGATGCACCATCCAGGGCTCATGGCGCCTAGAGCTCGTTTGCATCTCCGTTTCCAGGGGCTGAGTGCCAAGACCCGTGCTGCTTACCGCCGAGCGCTGCTGAGTTTCTTCAGTTTTCTCACAAGGGAAAACATCCCAATGCCTTCGAATAGTGCATATCTTGATGCGGCTCTGGGAGAGTTTCTGAACGAAGTGTTTCAAGAAGGAGATTCTCCGGCGACAGCTGGATCTGCCATTTCTGCACTCAAGCGTTTCTTGCCAAAGTTGCGGCTCAAACTCCCAACTGCGGCCCAATACTATTCTAATTGGATTAGGGTGTACAGGCCAAATCGAGCTGCGCCCATTCCTTGGAAAGTCGTGCAAGCCATGGCGGGGGGTGCTTTTGAATCTGGGCACAGCCGCCTTGCCATCTGTCTCCTTTTGCAGTTCTCTTTTTGCGCTCTTCAGAGCTTTTCGGGCTGCGGCCTTGTGACGTGGGGTGCTTTTCTTCGGGTCACGTGGTGGTTGCCCTTCCTGCAACGAAAACCAGCAGAGGGCGCGGCCAGAGCATTGCCTTGTTTGACCCATTTTTAGCTCGCCACCTGAGCACACATCTTCGCCGTTTCCAGCCTCGTCGCCCTTTGTGGCCACACTCTGCGCGGTATTTCCGCTTTGCCTTCCATCGCCTTTTGGAGGTCCTTGGCTACCCTGAGGGCTCCTTCCAGCCGTACAGCCTCAGGCGGGGAGGGGCAACCTTCCATTGGGTCCGCACTAGAAACTTTGAGACTACCATGATAATGGGGAGGTGGCAGAATCCACGCACTTGTCGGATTTACTTAGACGAGGCAAGAGCCCTTTTGCTTCAACACGAGGCGGATGCATCCTCCCACCCTTTTATCCCTGCCCTTGTGCGTTCTTGTGCCAGTCGCTTCGCAAGTGGCCATGCGTGCTAGTGGGCAGCGCATTTGTAACAGGGCAGCGCATTTGTAAAAGGGCAGCGCATTCGGTATGCAGATTTCTGCCTCACGTGGGCGGCCGCCTGTGGGCGTGATTTCACCCAATGATGCGCGGGGAGCTGCTTTGGCCTGCGGGCCTTTTCACCCAATTTTGTGCGGAGAGCTGCTTTGGCCTGTGGGCCTCCTCCGCACCATGTGTTTGCCCTGTGGCATCCCTTTTGCGCTGATAAGCACCGCTGCTCCAGGTGAAATTGCTTGCGCGTTGCAGGGGGGCTAATGAGTCTTGACTGCTGTAGCCGAGCATGCTGCGCAGGCAATGGCAGTCTGCACTTTAGCCTGTCTGCCGCGTAGCTGTTTGGTCCCGCCCGCCCTCCTCCATTCGGTATGCAGATTTCTGCCTCACGTGGGCGGCCGCCTGCGGGCGTGATTCACCCAATGATGCGCGGGGAGCTGCTTTGGCCTGCGGGCCTTTTCACCCAATTTTGTGCGGAGAGCTGCTTTGGCCTGTGGGCCTCCTCCGCACCATGTGTTTGCCCTGTGGCATCCCTTTTGCGCTGATAAGCACCGCTGCTCCAGGTGAAATTGCTTGC